CTGAGGTTCGCGGTAATTAATCTAATGGAGTGCGATTAGCTCCCTCCCCCCCCCCCCTTTTCAGTCCCGGCCCCTCCAAGCGACGGTGCTCGACGAGACGACGCTATGGGTGCCATCCTCATCCCCAGCAGCCGTGGGGGTGGACGTGCCCCCCCCCCTCCCCGCGAACCGCTGCACCGCAGTCCAGTGCAGTGCACAGCCCGGCATGGAATGCTGGGGGTGGGGGTGGACACCGACTACACACGCAACACAGTGCAAGCCAGTCGAGTGCAGGCATGCAAGAGCTGTCATCCCCCCCCCCCTCCATTTCTTCCTCCCCCAACATTTCCCACGAGCGCCGAGTGTCGGGCCCAGGAGGAATTTCGGACAGTCTTCCCCTTGTGCTTCCCCGGTCGCGTGCAGGCCGTGCAGGCATGCCTCCTTTCGGGCTGGCCTTTTTCGCTCCGTGAATGGATAAGTGGGCGAGCTGCTACTTAAAGATGCATTTCTTTCGATCGGCCTATCGGCCTGGATTGGCGTTGATGGCCCAGGACTGTGTGTATCGGCACATCGCCGTGTGTCTCCCTGGTTACAGCCGCGTCCGCCCGCGTCGCCTGAGCCACTGGCCAAGCCAATGGCGAGCATGCATTAGGCAGGCGCACGGAGGCGAGGCGAATCGCCGCACACTGGAAGAACTGAAGCGTCACTATACTTGAGTCAAGCGTAAAGTTACGCTTGAAGAGGTTAGTCTCGAAATGAAGCATGGACTTGCTAGATCTTTCCCCACACATTGAGATAGGGGGAATCTTGGCGCATGCGCCTTATGACGCCTGATTTGAAGCGTAAACTGGTTTGCGCTCGAAAACAGGGTAATCATTCTACGCTCTAGTTTTGCCAGTGGGCATTTTGCCTGAAGGTGGGCGAAAATAAGCATCGTTTGACACCCGTCCCGTTCTCAACATTTCTGTGCACGCCACTGGCTGCAGCGCGAGGCCCTGGGTCGCCCCCTTTCCAGACTTGAATAGCCCCATAATGCTGTCATTTTGATTTCAAAGTGACCACCACAGGTCGAAAATTTCGACGAGAAGCGAGTAGTTTCGACATTCGGACTGACCCTCTGCGGTGGCACGTGTCGTCGGGGTCATTCCCCAAGCCTTGCTGCGCGTGGATTTGAACATCTTGAGGCCGCGCCGGGCCCCGCGTAGCCCGCGCAGCCCACGCAGCCCTGCGCAGCGTGAATGCAACAGGTCCCTGCCGATCACACACGCAAAGCCGCCCCCTCCCCCTGTTGGCACCCCAGCCCCACGGCGGAGAGGACCGATCGTGCATGACAGCGGTCGACGTGCGTCGTCGCGGCGACCCGGCGGCCACTTTTTTTTGTTTGTTATTTTTTGTTCGTGCCTGCCACGCCATGGCCGTGCCAGGGCCGTGCCAGGGCCACGCCGACGGCGGCTATTCAGGTCAGGTCACGTTGGTCGCCTCGTTGGTAGACGGCCTCACGGCAGCACGACTAAACTCCGATGCCGCCTGCACGCCTGCATCGTCCAGACGGCCGTGACCTGATGTATTCATAACTCTTACGGGCCTCACACTGACACCGCACCGCCCTCCCCCTACCCCGTCAGCCAGGACAGGCCGGCCGGCCAGTCGCAAGCCAGCGCGGCCGAGTGGCCGAGTGGGGCGTGGCGGCGCTGAGGACGGGTCTAAACTTAGCCGACGTGTACACGGCACTGGCAGTGCCAGTACACAGCTCCAGACTGCGCTCTCCCAGTTTTAAGTTGGCCCGCCTGTTCCCGCTGCCCACTGTGTCTGTGCCCGCCGTGCCCGCCGGGAAGATGACCCCTCCACCCCGACCGATCCCGATAGCCGAAGCCTGCCTCCACGCGGCGCGACGCAGCGGGCCAGAAGACCGGTGGAGGCGGTCAAAATCGAGGACGCGTTTTGAGCTCCAGAGTCGCTACATGGCGCTCGAACCGAACGTGTGACCCCATCAATGGATTGCTCGTTCGGAGAGCGTTGTTTGTTCTGCCTCTCTCGCACTAGCGGGGCGTCCAGTAGGAGTGCGAGAGAGGCGGACTGGCGAGACACTTGATTGCAGTCGAGGCCCGCCGGCCCCAGTCGGCGAGTTCCATCCCGACATGGCTCGGCGCCGCTTGACGCGCGGTGACGTGCCATTATCCGCTGTCCTGCATCCTGCCGTGTTCCGCCGTCGCGACAAGCGCGGCGACAAGCGACGGGCAAAGAGTCGTTCGGTTGCAGGACGTTGGACGAAACATGACTGGAGTGGCGGTGAGTCGCTCGAGCCACTGCCACACGGCCTGCACGGCCTGCACGCTGTCAGTGTCCGGAGCGCGTCTTCAGCCTTACGCGGCAGGCATAGGCCGGCCGCCGCGCACCGGTGCGGCCTCCCGTCCCGGTTGCCTACGCGCCGGGCGCTCCGCAGCGGGCCAAGGCCGCCAAGGCCGCCAAGGCCGTCAAAATCCCGGACGCGTCTTGAGCTGCAGAGTCGCTAAATGGGACTCGAACCGATCAAGTGACACCACCAATGGATTGCTCTTCGAACGAGGAAGCCATTGGTTGGATCACACGCGTGGTTTGAGTCCTGATTAGCGACTCTGGAGCTCGAGACGCGTTCAGATTCGGCCGGACGGACAGTGCTTTCGTCTCTCTCGCACCAATGGATGGGTTCGCGTTCCGCAGCGGCCGAGAGGGACGGCGCCCCGCGCGGCACCAAAGGGCTGGACCGACGCACGCGCACCGTGTGAATTCTGAATACACAAAAAGGTCTATTTCGAGCGCCACCTTCGCCTTCGCCTTCGCCTTCGCCTTCGCGCCTCCGAGTGTCTCAATCCCACCTCGGCTCGGCGCTGACGGCGCTGACGGCGCTGCTTCGGCCCGGCGTCGTCTTTACAACACTTTTGGATGGCTGCCTGGCCACGGCATTGTCACGTCCCGCTGCCAATGGCCCCGCAGCCCCGCAGTGCAACGCGCGTCGCGCTGTTTGGAATGGAGGGTGGCCGGGGCCGGGGCTCCCGAGGGCCCGCTTTGACAGCGTAGCAGCATAGCGCAACACGGGGCGCCTTGTAAAGCCGCAACCCCGGATGCCTCTTGCCTTTGCTCTGCTGCTCCGCTGCACGACGATCTGGCAAGGCGGGCCACCCCGACCGCGGCGCGGCGGGGCGCGGCGGGGCGCGGCGGGGGACCTTTTCATGTTTGCAGGGGATTGTACCGGCTTCTACTCCACGGGTGCACTCCCACTCTCAGTAATGGACCGGGCATCGCCTCTGTGCGCCATTGATAGGACACAAGCCACCCCCCCCTTGCCGCGGCCCGGCCCGCCCCGGCCCACGCCGTCCGGTGCCGAGACTGGCGAGTTATTTCGAGAAGCGATCGCAACCGGCAAACTTTATGGGACGGGCGGCGCGGGTGAGGAATGCCCGCCCGCCGCCCGCCGCCCCGCCGCCGCCGCCGCCGCCCCGCCGCCCCGCCGCCCCGCCGCCCCGCCGCCCCGCCGCCCCGCCGCGCAAAGCGACGCCAGGCGACGCCACGCGACGCCCAGCCCCCAGCGATTCGAGCGCATGAAAGGGAAAAAAGGAAACTCATTTCGAGGGAAAGAAAAGACGACCCCCAGCGTGGACGGTCGATGGGCGCCGAGTAGTGCACACGGACGGGATGGGTAGAGTGTGTGCGTGTGTGAGAGAGTGTGAGTGCGTGCGAGCGCGCGCGCGCGCGTGCGTGCGTGTGTGTGTGTGTGTGTGTGTGTGAGGGAGAGAGAGAGAGAGAGAGAGAGAGAGAGAGAGAGAGAGAGCGAGAGAGTATGTGTGTGTGTTGGTAAACAAGCCCTTTTAACTGCTGACAAGCAGTTTGAATGACTGGGTCATGGTTTGACGGGACAGATGTGCTTGCACGGCCTGCCTCGGCCTGCTCGGCCAACCCCCTCCACTTTGGCTGCGGAGCGGGGAGGGTGGGGGTGAAAGAGAGGGGGTGGGTATCCATCCGAGGTGCCTGTGTGGCGATTAGCGCGCTCCCGGCAGACTGACTTAGCTCTGTCTCTCTCGCACTCATCGGGCGCCGAGGACAGGGACAAGGGAGACAGAGCGACGAAAATGACTCGCGGAATCAGTGCGCTTGCTGCTGGCGTACCCCCGGCCCTGTTGCTTGCGGTTCCCTCCCTGTCATTCGGGGAGACGCCGCGTCTCCGAGGCCAGCAGACAGCAACCGGCGGCAAGGCCTGGCGAGGCCCGGCGAGGCCCGGCGAGGCCCGGCAAGGCCGCGCACGGCGGCGTCCTCACGTATGCACACTGCCGGCGCTGTCGGCGCTGTCGGAGCGCCGCGACGCCAATGTCAGCCAATGTCAGCGGGAATAATGAGGAAGAGCAGCGAAGCGGCGAGGCGCGCCGAGCTCTCCGCCGAGCAGTTTCCGCCCCGCCCTTTCGGGCCTCGAAAGCGTTCTGAGCCGCGCGCTGCGGTGCGAGCGCTGCGCCGCGGTACCCGCCGAGCGGGGAGGGGAGGTAAGACCCGCTAAGACCAGACCCGGAAACTCGTGTCGCGCGGACTGCCTGTGGAGTGGGGTGGTTCATGATGATGAGATGCCATGGATTCGCCCAGACAGGACCGCCGCCTACACCGGTCCGTTGGAGCGTTCGGGCAAACACAATCCCCAGTGCGGGAGTCCGGTCCGGTCCGGGCGGTGCCGTGGCGGTGCCGTGGCGGTGCCGCAGTGTTAGTTCGCCGTGGGCCGTGGGCAGGGTCCGGAGGTCCGGAGGGAGCGGGCACTCGGACGAGCCAGCAGACTGATTCCGAGTGGGAGGTCTCTCTCTCTCTCTCTCGCACCCACGGCGCGCTCCGTGCCGCCCCGTGCCGGTGCGAGAGAGATAGACCGACGGGAGCGGGTCGCGGAGTCAGTCTGCAGGCCCGCGGAAGCCCGAGGCCTTCCCGCCCACGGCATCCAGGGCAGCCGAGGCACCACGGCGCCGCAAGCCGCAAGCCGCACGCACAGTCGCACACACAGTCGTACTCACCGTCACGGAGTACGAGGAGATGGTCGGGGTGGGCCGGGAGTAGGGCCGGCGGGTCGTGTAGAAGTCTGACTCGTACACCATGGTGCTGGTTGGGTTGCTTCAGAGGGTCAAGTAGTCGACGTGGTTGCCGTCGTGTCCCTGAGGTGTCTGCGCTACGACTGCCTGCGCCTGCCCTGCCCGCTTGGTCCACTGGGCAGGGGCGGGCGGGGCGCGGCGGCCGCCTTCTGCGTGCCTTGGGCGTGGCGCGGTGCTGCGCGGTGCGGCGCGGTCTTGGCGCCTTGCCCAGCACCGGCCGTGGGAGTGTGGGAGGCCCCGGTCCGAGCGAAGCGAGCGAAGCGCGGTGTAAACATCCACACCGGCACGCCTTGGGCCGCGGCCCGGCCTCGGCCTCTGCGCCGCACCCCCTCCCCCAACACAGTCGGCCAACCGACACTCCATGACGTCCTCGAAGCGGCTCCTTCAGGTGTGGCAGCGCGACAGCGCGGCACTCGTCCTTGAGCACTTTCCCGGACACGCTGGCCGTCCGCTAGCGCAGCTGTCGCAGAGAACGTCGCGAGCACGACACCCAAAGAACGCCAATTGCCGAAGAAAATCGAGGGTGCAATCATGAGAGTAGGACTGGGACTGGGCCTATTCCATGGTGCAATGGAGCATCGCGTTGCACCTCATGGTGCCCCAGGGCAGAAGGAGGGGGCCCTCCCCTGGCACGCGACGGCACTGCGGCCAGGAGCACGGCGCGGCGGAGTGTCGGCAGCAACAGGTTGTCGGGTTGGCCAGACGCTTGCCGCTTGCCCAAATCCCCAAAGCAGAGGCGGAGGCGGAGGGGCGAGTGAAGCGAAATTACCGAATGAGTCACGGCCTTGGCGTCCCCCGCCTGCCCCCGCTGCGAAACCATTCTGAGGTTCTGAACGGCCCGGCCCCGCCGCCCTCGCCCCCCTCGCCTCGTCGTGCAGTGCACTGTCTCTGTAACGTTCCTCGGACGTGTCTGACTAAGTACTGCGTCACCGCTTTAAACATGTCCACCGCGCGATGGCCCACCCTCCCAGAGACGGGTCAACGAGCCTCCCCAGCAGACTGATTCCGAGAGTCGTTTTCGTCGCTCTGTCTCTCTCGCACCTACACGGGACGCCTCATGAGGACGAGAGAGACAGAGCGACGAAAACGACTCTCGGAATGAGTCTGCAGTGTCTCAGCGCTCTGGGCCTCGGGGAGGAGGGGCGGCGCCAGGACAGTCTGCGAAAGGAATTCGCAACAATCTCGAAATAGCTTCGCGGCACATCGTCACCCCTGCCGAGCCTCACAAGAAAATAAAGTAAGAGATGGCGACATCGCGCGGTAGGCGTCGTCCGTCCGTCCGGCCCGCTTTCCTTGACCTTTCGCCGAGACGCGAGACGCGGCCGGTCAGTCTGACAAATTCTCGGACACCGGATGGATGGGGGTGAGGGGTGAGGCGGCAATAAATAGCCTCTAGCGGACGCTGCGGCGAGCGGCTAGCGGCTGGGCCAACCGGGGCATCGCCAGGCATCGCCAGGCATCGCACGCAGAACAGAACGCAGCCAATGCGACGCGATGGTGATGGTCCAACGCTCCCTGTGCCGGGCAGGGCAGTCCCGGTCCGGATGGCTCGTTGTGCCCCTGTGTAGAGGAGCGCGGGTGGAGCGCAGTGCTGAGTGCAGCTTGCCATGAAAACAACTCACTCCACCCTGCCTTTCCTAATCGCCATCACCTGCTCGCCCTGCTCGCCCGGCCGTTGAGTATTTCTGTCGTTTCTGTCGGGAGGCGGTCACGTCCGGAGGGTAAACAGTCTTGCGCTGCGCCTGGCTGCGGTGGCTGCAGCGGTGTGCCCAGCGATGCGCCCTGCGGGGCATGCAGCCTCGAGGGCTAGCCTCTAGTGCAGCCTAGAGTCCTAAAGGTACAGCCTCTAGCCCTCTAGTGCAGCCTAGAGTCCTAAAGGTACAGCCTCTCTCCTCTAGTGCAGCCTAGAGTCCTAAAGGTACAGCCTCCAGCCCTCTAGTGCAGCCTAGAGTCCTAAAGGTACAGCCTCTCTCCTCTAGTGCAGCCTAGAGTCCTAAAGGTACAGCCTCCAGCCCTCTAGTGCAGCCTAGAGTCCTAAAGCATGGAGACATACTTAGTATGTCTCCATGCCTAAAGGTACAGCCTCTCTCCTCTAGTGCAGCCTAGAGTCCTAAAGGTACAGCCTCTAGCCCTCTAGTGCAGCCTAGAGTCCTAAAGGTACAGCCTCCAGCCCTCTAGTGCAGCCTAGAGTCCTAAAGGTACAGCCTCTAGCCCTCTAGTCGCCTCTAGTGCAGCCTCTAGTGATTCGGGACGAGGAGCGAAAGGAAATGACGAGCGGAGCGACTAGGTATTAGCATTGTATTTCTTCACACAGGTCTCCACACTTGCAAGTTTACATTAATTAGACCAGAACAAATATTTACAGCAAATAGCCACAGCACACTACAGCTTTACTCACATTTAACTGATAAAAAAAAAACCACAAATAACAGACTCAGTATTATAAAAATATAATAAAATGAACTAAAAAGGTCAAAATAAATAAGATAGCATGTGGTTTGTTGACAAAGGCTAGTTTCCAAACCACTAACAGAAAAGCACCAAATAAAAAAAGTACATCCAATAAATATTAAATAATAATGATGGTAATAAATTAAAATGCATTGACACAAATTAGCTTTGTTTCAAATTTTAAACAATCATGACTACATCTCAGCAGTGTACTAATAAGTATTTGTTTTAATAGCTAACAATTTAACTTCAACCCTAAGAGCTTAAGTAACCTCTCACTGACACAGATTGACATAACACTAGACGAGCTAGACTTCCACTCTATAAACAATTTGAGTTTTCTATTTTATGTATGCTCTAGTTCCAATTAAACCTAGAATGGGACACCAGCAAAAAGAGATGAGGTCAGCTGGTTTCAAGCAACAACAAACTTTAACTTGAGCACTATTAAATAACTCCGCTTGAAAGAAGATTTAAAAGAATGGGCTTGAAGTGCCTGTACTGCATTTAAGAACTTACAAAGGTGCTTTGAGGTAAACCAAACCAATCAGTTTAAAACACTCTAAATGTCTTTTATTACAAATCAAGACATCATTTACAATTCACATAAGTTAAAATTCAAAGTAAGATAATTTGGGCAATACAAGGCAGCATTCATAGTTCGTGTAGGACATGAGGTACTGTAACCCATGAAATGTATCCTTTCCTCATAACAGTTCCACTTGGTCCAAGACAAAATGAAAGAAGGAAACATTAGCCAAAAGCTTGACAATATGACTAAAAGTAGAACACAAGAATCACAGACTATTAAAAAATAACAATGTGATGATTAAAACATTGACTAGGGGTACACATTTACCAGCTTCTTAAAATGAATATGTTCGTTAAAATCAAGTGCGTTACAATATCAAAGTCTTAACAATTAAGATCTGATTGTGGTCTGCTTCAAACAAGAAAGCTCTAAATCCTTCCTCCAAGTCGAAGTTGTCACAGTACAAAACACTCATACCAAAACTAAGCAGTCAAATGATTTTACTACCTTGAAAACAAGAGAGAAATAACTGCACACACATCACAACTTAAAATGCTGCATTTAAGCACCATAGATTGTAACCAACTACACAAAACTTCAATTATGGATGCACAAGTACATTCATTGTCTACTGAATTCAGAATAATAGTATTGCTAATCAAATACATGAAGGTGAAACACCAAGTGCACACATAGTCAAACTTTCAAAATATTATGGTTTTTGCAACTTAAGAAAGCCACAAAGATAGATATAGAAAAATAGTTGACGCAGACAACATAAGCTTAAGTTTGTCTAAAGATGAAGGTACTTTTGGTGTTTTAATTTTCGTATTTGGTGCTTAGCTTACACCCTACCTATTTTTTTAAAATTGCTACATTAAAAGCACACTAAAGGAAAACAAATTTAATATTTAAATATTTCCTAAGTTTTAAAGCAAAGTTTAATTATCTTAAACAGTCATAAAGAAGAGCATAATAATATTATATTATATTTGTGACAGTACAATAGATCACAGTTTAAAATCTCATAGATTTCATCTTGCTTAGAGATCTAATTCATCATTAAATTTCACTGATTACTTTCTTTGATACAGAAAAAGAATTTGAAAAATCACATTGGATGCATTAAGTCACAAATTGCCTAACAAGGTGGAGAAGAGGGTATTCTACTCAACTGATTTAAATGAGCAAGATGTATGCAACAACATGAAACATGTATACACCTTTTTCAAAAAATACAGTACAATAACACACCAAGTTAAAACCAATAATACAATACCTGTCTTCCTATTTTATTCAATTTTACATTGCAAAATGCACAAAGAACCGATCCACCTTAACAAGGTTTGTAGCATAGTAGACCTCAGTCTTTCCAGGCACAGAAGTAATACTCACAACTCATTGACACATACTCTTATACTGTGCAACAGCAAAATTAACATTCTAATGGCTTTCATACAAAATAAATTTTGAAACAACTTAGTAGCCTTCCAAACAATAAATGGGCACCAAATTCTTCTTACTTTCCAAAAAAATCATGATTCTAAGATATGGAAAAAGGAAATGTGCAAGAGGAGGGCGTCACATGTCCCATGGAAGGCTTCTAGACTCTTCTTGACATGTGATTGCTATATGAGACTTAAAGGCCACTATGCCAGGGATGTGTTACATAAATTTCGATGATAAAAAGAACTTTGGCAGGCAAAGTTGTCAAAAAAAAAAAGAATCATTGTCCCCATAAAATAAAAGATGGGGATGCTTCAATGTAGCAATACAATCAAACCCTACGTTCATATAGAGTACATTGACTATAACTAGATAAAATTTGATAAAATACTGACAATAAATCATTAAAATGGGGAGTTTAGGGCAATAAAATACTAAGTAAAAACTCAGGGATACAGGTATTGTGAACCAAGCACACTAAAGACTACTGAAAACTCGGCTTTGAGGTGGGCTCGAGAGCCACTCTATGAAAAAAGATCACAGACAGATATTTGACTAATCCAGACACATGAATAATATTCTACTAAAACGCAGATGCTTGAAAATTTGTGCCAAAGCAATCAAAATATTAATTAGAATACACATCACTAATACAGTATGCACACTATTGCCTTCCTAGAGGTTCAGAACTTGAATAGTAAACATAGAATGCTAGTGTTTTAAAATAAAATTCACACGAATGAAACCATTAATAAATAGCTGGCGATAAAATCACACACTGGATCTTCCACACAACCTAAGGAAGTACAAACATATACTGAAAGTGGTTTATCGACATAATAGTAGAAATGTATGCTTGATCATATGTAAGATTGGCTAAAATCGTCCTCATAGGCTACACACACTTACACTAGTCACAACAATAAATCTACGATTGTGATATGAACAGCAGTCATTCAACATATACCACTTACACCCATACAGAAAGACAAGAGGTTACATAGTTATCGAATGCAACAGCAAAGATCACATTATCATTCAATGAAATGAACAAGACAGACGAAAAATGTGATCATTATCTGCTGATAAAATTGTGAAATCATAATAGTGGACAAAACAGCCTACATGCTTCCAAGAGTAAGAATGTTGAAAATGTTAAATACTTCAAAAATTTAAAGAATTAATTAAAACAAGGTACACCAAAGTCTGAAGTCCTACATTGAGGTGAGAAAATTGTGGTTACAAATTTCATACCATGTGCAAAAATATTAATACTGTAATCATTCACAATCACCTCAAAAGGGGCAACAAACAGAAAATTCTAGAGATGCCTGCTCCTGTGATATGCATTATAAGAACAAAATTGATTAAAATCTTATGACATATTTAGGAGACACAATAAAAAATAAACCAGAAAATCTTAAAACCATCATTATTAACCAAAGTTCCCTACTGTTGATTTGAGGAAGTTATTGCAGTCTGAGGGAATTTGCAATAATGATAAAGATATCAGCACCAATATGATTCATTTGACGCATCACATTAACTCCGTTGACAAACGTTAGTGTAACTGGTCCACAGTGTTGCATTACAATTTAAGAGGACTCATTGTGTTCGAAAACAATACATATGACTGACAATTCATAAACCAGTGATAGCTACAAAATTTCTACAAAAATGATGGCTTAAATAGTACAGAAGAAACGGAGGTACAGGTAAACAAGTAATAGCACTCAGCAAATATTATCTCAATGATCAAAAGCTTTGATTCACCTTTGATTTTAATGAGAATGATTGGTATAACTTCATTACAAAGGAATTTTACACTCGAAATGGCATAGATCCGAAAGTTTCAAAACAACAAAGGAGAGAAAAAGACTTAGATTGTTTGATTCAAAAGCACAATGAGGTCCACATAACAGGAGATCTGCAATAGTGAAAAAGATCAGCTTTAAGGCCAAAAGTATGAAAGAAAATTCAAGCAAAATTATTGCTTTTGAAATTACTTGACACAATGAAAAAGCCATACATACAGTCTGAACATGAACACATGCACTCATCAAAAATAAATAAAAACTCTCTATATACATCATAAGGCATAAGTAACAATACATGATTAGGCCTTGGTTCCATTAAGAAGTTTACAGAGTAAATTGCCTTGAGGTACACCACATTGATTTCAGGCAGTATACTTGATCAAAGCTTGATCCATAATCATTCTAGCAAAATGAAACCACAATAAATAAATAAGTAAATAAATATAAATCCAAGTATAGTCTCAAAATAAAACTACTTATCTACAGAAGTAATCTACACAACAAGGTCTTGTTGGACAAAAACATATTAAACACAACTACATTATTCAAACAGCACTTTACAGGAGCATCTACATAACATGTTTTCTCATTAGGAAGAGCAATTTTTATCGTCCTCGAAATTGTGAAATATTTATCCTTGAAAGACAGTCAATGGAACGAAAGCATTGGCCAGACCAACTGGAAGCTAAAGTCCTAAGCATTCCTTAAAATTAGGTAATCTTAACAAGACTTTAAGCATTAGAGCATAAATGCATAAGGGTAACAGAACACAACACAACTAGGAGACAGCCCCAAAACTAAAATAACGGAAATGGGACACCTCACTTTTGCTACAGTAGCAAATTTAAATTAAAACAAAACCCAAAGTATATCCTTTGTTTTGTGGAAGACAATTTCCAATCAACAATCACAAAACTTTGATGAAAGATTGCAGACAGAAAATGTTAAAATACAAAACCCCAAAACTAAAATCAAAATGGAAACAATCTCCACAAAGGCAAAAAATAGTTTGAACACACTAGATGAACAAGACAAAAACTGCCTTGACTTGTTGGTTACATATAATACTGCTGCTTTGAGCAGGTACCACATACACTCAATGCTGCAATTTAAAAAAAAAAAAATGAAACTCCTTGAAAGATGGGAAGAAATTTTGCAATTGAGGAGAAGAGATGCAGCAATCAATGTGCATAGCAGCTGAAAGTGACATTTACTTTCTTAAACAATGAACAAAAAGCTTCATTGATCAAGCACGCGCGCATTACTCACATAAAAAAGCTAAGACGCTTCATGAATAAATTTTGCTTCTTCCATTCCAAAAGAAAGGTTTTAGGCCTTACAGAATGGTCTCAAGTAAATAAATCAATGATAAATAGATAAGATTTTAAAGAGTACAGAAGTACACTAGGCTCTTAAGATAAGCATAAAACACAGCCATTTGTAGTAGAAATGAGCTAAACCAGGTTCCCTTATACTGACGAACATCAATTCCATAATGCACCACGTTAAAACAATGATTACATGCCATACCACAGCTCACAGTATAATACCTTTCCAACTATTAAAAGAAGAGCAACCAGGCTAAACAAGAAGACGAGCTAACATTACCAAAAAACGAAACAAACACCACTGCGGTTTTTGTTTTACATTCAAGCTAAACTTCAAATTAAGAGGTGTTAACAGGTTTCCTTCCCCCTCTTGGCTTAATTGATTCTGATATTTGCCACATAGCCTCTTCAGATAGAAATTCGTCAAAATTGCTGAAAAAGGCAATGATTCTCTCTTGCTTTTTGAATGAATATGTCCTGTAGAGCAAGATTTGAAATTAGTTTGGGACTTAACAGTTTAAATACAAATATGTTCCAGAGCAGCAAGGTTGTGATCACTCACCCTTTCTTGAATCTCTTCATATTTTCAACTATATTGAACTGCTGCCAACGCTTTGAAAAATTGATGGTCCCATCAGCAAGTAAATCACTGTTTCCTATGTGAACAAATGTCAAGTCTTGAAGGACCAAACCACTGAAAGAGGAACCCAAAGTTGAATGAAATTAACATGGACAGACAACATTACAATTAAAGATGAAAGGATGTGTGGTAACTGTTTGAAACATACATGTAGGGTATGCAAGGTGGATTTGTGTCCGCTAATGCCTGTCTGTAAGCACGGAAACTAGAAGAGCTATCGATGAGGGCACAATACTCTTTCAAACCCTCAGTGATGTGTTTCTGCCACTCTAGTCTCCTGATAGGAGCAGAGTCTAAAGCCGAGAGCAAGGCTAAATAAGAATTAAAATTGTTCATTTTGCGCAAATGTTTCATAATTTTGATAAACTTCACAACATAACGTTCACGATCTTTAGCTTCTGACTGCTCTAAAATTCGTGATCTTGCCCTGTGAACAGAATTGATTAAAAGTTATAAAAACAACTCCTTTCAAAAATACAAAATTAAAGTAATCTATTAGTGGTGGATCTTACCAGTAGGACATTTTATTAAAATGCTCAGTGAATCGGGTCAAATTTGGACTTCTCTCCTCATTCTGTTCTTGAGCCCAGATCAGAACCTCTGGGATTTCAATTTTCATAAAGAGCTGGGCGTCCAATAGAGTCATCTGTTCTGCTATTTGCTCTGATTTAAAGTCAAGTAGAGAGGCTTCCCTATATCACATGAAATATATAAAAGGAATTAAAACACACACGAGAAGAGTTGGCAACAAAGCTGTGAATAAGAACAGTAACTGGTGTATTACCGATGGCGACGAGTGTACACATTCTGAGAGGGCAACAACGTATTTGTTGTGTTACAAAGCATTTTGGCACTATGCTTTTCTAGAATCTTAACCCGAAGCGCCTTTGCCATAGTAAGATCACCACTTGCCAGAAGTTGGTACACGAAATTCAACAAGGTTTGAAGAACAGTGTCGTCTAAGTCTGATACCCTGAATAACAATAATTTAAAAATCCGGTTAAGCTCAAGTTCGTTTAAAGTAACATGGAAAGCAAATTTTACAGTGTTACTTCACTTACGTCAAATCACTAACAACTCTCACTAGTAAAGAAAATGATTCTTTGGCTGCTCTTTGCTTGGAAACTTCTGCAGAGCAATGGAAGCGTTGGTGTCGATAACAAAGCTTTTGAATGAGCTCCAAAGGGGACAAAAAAGTCCGATATGTAGTCAGGAAAGCTTCTTGGTACAGGAAGTCTGCAGTAGAACATATTGTATTAGAAATATCCAATTCAAATTTAAATGAAGAAACTTTGGTTGTTTGGAGAATGTAAACAATACATTATGGAATATTCTAATGCACATCAATACTTTACAACAATCTATTTCAGAAACAAAAAAGACAGCAAGGGTAAAAGTACCTGTTTCATTTTCCTCTGATAAAGTATGAAGCAAAGATTAAAGAATAAAAGTATTATTACAAACATTGTACTTAAGAAATTTGCAAAAACAACTGTGTTTTGTAATTGAAATTCACCTTTACCATTTTTATTAGCCTTTGTTGCTAGCACAATTAGCCCATCTTCATGTCCTCCTCGAATGTCTGGTCCATCCTCTTCAGCTTTCTTTAAGACTAAGTGTCTGCTGACATCAAGTTCTTCCAATAGATTTCCAGTTTCGTCGGATATAGCAGCTCCCTCAGTCAGCTGACTCTGCACTGGGAGCAGTTCCGCAGGCGGTGAAGGAACGGTGCGGTGAGGAGTGTCAACCGGTGGCAGAGGCAGAGGCGGCTTTGGAGAGAGGTCCAGTCTTGGGGGGATGACCTTCTTTTTCTCCTCTTTCCTGAAAAAGTATATTGAATGTCATGCAAAAAGAATGGCAAAATGGTACTGCAACAAAATTATAACACTCTCAACTAGTAAAATCAAAGTAAAACTTACAAAGCAGGAGAACTTGGGGAAATGCTGGTTACAGGTGATGACGGGGGAGGACTACTGACTGATCTTATACTTGATGCACGGCTTCGCTTTGGTGGCAATGCAGGAGGAATGGCGTTCATTAGGTCAGCTGGGACTGGAGAACTATTGGGGCTGAACAGAGAATGTAATTTATAGAAATGTATTTAAAATTGTAGCAATAAAACTGAAGATAACACCATTGACTTACTTTTCACATTGGTAATAAAATGACCGAGACTGGACTGCACTGAAATTTTCATGTTGCTGCCATTCTGTCTGCAGTACATTGTAAGTGTGCATGGAATGGCGCAAGAAGTCGTTGTTGTTTGTGTGTGAACAGTTTCCAAACATTTCCATATAGGCCATAACTGCAACACAAAAATGTATCAGAATAAATTCATCATTAAATAAATTGCAGTGGTTAGTAACATAGTAAATGCAAGTGCATTATAAAACAAACAAAACGAAGAATAGCCACTAAAACTTATACTTCGAAATGAAATACATGAAGAAAGACAATTGTTTGAAAGATACTAGAGTTGCTTGATTCTTACAAAAAGATCTATAGAAGGGGAACTAAACTCACTTCTTTTTTTTTTTAATTGACATGACATGACAAAAATAAGCATGAGAACACAACAGAAAGGGAAGCACAAGTAACGAGTATGAAAGTGCATGGTGGGATAAAAATGCAAATGACATGTCCTTACCCGAGTATGCCACTGATTGGAACACTGAGGGACAAACACCAAACAAGATTTAATACAGCATTGGATGCAGGAGGAACATTTAGGAAGCAAAGAGGAGGAGGCACATGACACAACACACACCTTACCACCATAGCACCACTGACATGCCAAAGAGTCAGAGAATTTGAGACTTCTTATGAAAAACTTTGATTTTAGTTACGCAAACCACCCGTCTTCATGCTTAAGTTAGGTTAATTTTCACTAGTGAAATCTATGCAAAGCATTTCTCCAAACTTACTCAGTTACATCCTCAATTTGGACATCACACAGATGATCTATGGAATCCATGGAAATCATTGATCAGTCAGTATGATAATTCAAAACAGAGAAGCAACTGTAGTAGTCGATAAAAAATTACCCAAATCCAATATACCAAAAGATATTAAACTATCACACCATACATTATGTTAAAACTTTGATGATTTGTGATGATTAAGTTAAAACTTGTTAAAACGGCCTCAAGATTGAAAGAGCACCATTGTGGAAAAATATGGTCAGTTACTCACTGTGCTTCTTCTTGAGTGGAAGAGGAGGCGGCTTGCCCGCTTCAGGTCCTGGACCACTAAGGGCAATGGCTGACTTATGTGCTGGCATCATTAAATTTGATGGAGAGGTGGAGGACACTTGCAGGGCTGAATGAGACTGTGACTGCATGACTGTTGACGTTGTTTGGAGGGAGCAATTGAGACGTTGCGGAGACAGCGCGGAGTCGGTGGTATCAATACCAGGTACATTGTCGTACTGTGAAGGGAGTCTCTCCCGCTTTGGGCCATGTCGTGAACGGTTCTTCTGAGGTAGTGCTGGAGGAGTACTTCCATTGCTGGCCGGAGATATTCTTTCAAACATACCGTCGTCAGAATTCTGTAGACATGATATAAAAGTACCCTCCATTAATTTTTTTAAAAAATAACCACACACTACAAAAATTGATATGGATAACTTACATTGACGCCTAACAAGGAGTCCTCATCCATGGGTGTAAATCCAAGCTTGGTGGCAGAAGAAGAGGACGAAGAAGACACAGACACGGTCCGCTGGGACTGTGCCACTACAGCGGCCATAGAGGATGCCCCTTGACTAGTGATGGACAGCGTGCTCTGTTGTGATGACCTGAATGGGCAGGAAGACCACGTTCCTATAAAGCTCTAGCCAGTCACGAGTAAACAAGTAAGAATAGAGCAGAAAATTCGCACATCAGCAAAGAGTTGAAGGAAAATTTAAGTGCACATCAGCTGTTTCGTCTAGAATACCTGAGGTGTGAGGCGTTGGACGCGGCGTAGCTGTGCACAGTGCGCACGGCGTGCATGGTCTCGGTCAGGCTGGCCAGCCCCGCCCCGCCGACGTGGCCGAGGCCGAGGCCGTCGTGCGCCTCCAGGCCGTCCCAGCAGCAGGACGGCGACGGCGACTGCGAGGGAGACCCGTCGCCGCCGTTCAGGGCCCTGGGTGTGGCGAGGCCCAGGCGGCTGGCCAGGGCCGGCACTCCAGCGCCGAGGCCGTGGTGACAAGGGCTACGGCTGGTGCGGCCGTGCGCGCCGGAGCCGGGCGTGCTGGGGGTGTTGACGGTGGGGCTGGGGCCCGGGCTGGGGCCCGGGCTGGGGCCGGGCGCCAGGGTGAGTGAGTCGCTGTGGCTGTCGGTGCGGTCCGTGTCGTGATCCGCCTCCGGCTCCATGAGCGCGCGCAGCTCGTCCTCCTCGTCGCGCGAGTGGTTGAGCACCGAGTCCAGGCTGCCGGCCGAGGCGCTGAGCAGCGAGGACGTGTCTTCGGGCGACTTGGAGCGCAGGCTCAGTGCCTCCATCCCGGACAGCGGCCCCGGCCCCGCCCGGTACTCCGGCCGGAACTGGCTGTCAGAGCCGCGGGGCCGCCGCTTGGGGGGCAGCGGGGGCGGCTCGCCGCTGGGCGACGGCGAGGAGCCGCCCCCCTCCGACAGGCACCAGGGCCGACCGGCAGGCAGCGGCGGCTTGGGCGGAGGCTCACCGTCCACCCCGTCCACCCCGTCCAGCAGCACCGAGTCGGAGCTCTGGGAGTAGTGGTGCGGGTGGTGCGGGTGGTGGTTGGCGTGGTGGTGCCGCTCCATGACGGACTGCGACGTCTGCTCCAGGATCTGGCGCTCGCGGGGCGTGAGCGGGATGTCCGGCAGAGAGCTGCGCTGCGGCAGTTCCAGCCCAGCCATCGAGTAGGTCGACTTGCGGTCCAGGAGGGCGTGCGCGTGCGCCGCCTGAGGCACCGGCGGCGCGGACTTGAGCGGCCCGCTGCCGGAGGAGCCCGTCGACCCCGACGACCCCACGGACGCGGAGCTGTGGCGGCTGGCCAGTTTCTCGCGCGCCAGCGTCACCAGGTTGAGCACGGCCTCCTCCACGAGCTGGATCACCTGACGGACAGAGCCGAACCGTGAGTGGAAAGCGACACGGCGGAGCGGCGACGGCAAGCTCGGCCGTGACGCCCCGCGCAGCAACGCTCAGCAGAATAGCGGAGCCTCGGCGGCGGAGCCGCGAGCAACAACAAGCAACACGCGCGGGCCCGGAGCAGCGCCGCAGCGCCGAAGCGCGCAGTCAGCGCAGCGCCCAAACGCGCGGGACGCACACGCCGCACGCAGCTGCGCGGGGCCGAAGAAAACTTCGCGGGTCAAACAGCTTCCTTCGCATCTTTCCTTCGCTGTTGCCCGACGCTACGGCCCCGAACGCAGCCCTACCTACCTGCGCCACGTTCTCGGTGTTGAGCGCCTTGCCGCCGTTGAGCAGCACGTCGTCGCAGAGGCGGATGAGCTGGGCCATGCTCTGGTACACCTGGTTGGTGGCGGACACCAGCAGCGTGCTGTGCGCGCCCTGCTCGTTCAGCAGGCAGGTCTTGAGCGCGCTGTGGATCGTGGCCACCGTCTCCAGCACCACCGTGCCGTTGCCCGGCAGCACCTCCAGCTTGTTGTTGCTCACCACGTCGCGGAAGTGCTTGAGGGCGAACTGGACCTGCGGACACAGAGAACACGCGTGTCAATCACACCAGTCTGGCCGAAGGACGCAGCAGGCTCAAGAGTCGCTTTGCAAGGCAACCTGTCTCACAGTGGGCCAGAAGACCGGTGGAGGCGGTCAAAATCTCGGACGCGTTTTGAGCTCCTGACTCACTAAACGGGACTCGAACCGAACGTGTGACCACACTAATGGATTGCTCTCCGAACTGGGAATACATTGGTGGGGGCACACGCTCGGTTCGAGTCCTATCTAGCGACTCGCGCTCAAGACGCGCCCAGAGTTTTGGCCGCTGCCGGTCCTCTGGCCCACCGTGCGTCCGTCGGCCTGCATGCCTCACCTGTCTGACGTGGGCGTCCAGGTCCTGCAGGGGGTTGCGCGAGGCCGCCGCCTCGTCGCCGCGCTCGCCGCGCCCGGCCTTGGTGGGCGTGCGCGACTTGGGGGACTGCGGCGACCGCGAGGCCGAGGCCCCGGAGGGGGACCGCATCTGCGACAGGATCTCGAGGAAGTCGTCCTTGAAGGAGCGCGCCCGCCGAGCCAGGCGCCCGCCCCGCGGCTTGCCGTGGAAGGAGCCGCTGTGCCGCGTGAGGGAGCCCTTGGCGCCCTTGGCCTTGGGCTGCTGGCCCTGCTGGCCCTGCTGGCCCTCGCCTTGCTGGCCCTGCTGGCCGGGGCTCGGAGCGCTCGAAGCGCCCGAAGGGCTAGCCCCTGCTGTCTCTGAAACAGGAAAGCAGGACATTTTTACTATTCCAACTGGCAAATGCCTCATAGAAATTAAAGTAATACAGTCTACGAGGCCTGGTTTGTTTCTCCGAGGCCCTTGTGCTTTCTCCGAGGGCCCTCGTAGAAATCAAACAGGCCTCACAGAGTGTCTATTTTAATTTAAACGAGGTCTGTTTGACTGTCGCTACCACTCGCGAACTCGCTCCGCGAAAAAGACACAATGCGTTTCATGACGATGATTTCAGTCGGCAACCTTTCGAAACCCCAAGTATACAACTCATTTATTGTTTTGGGCTCTTGCGCCTAAAGTGTTTCTCCTTTGGAGACGCACAAGTAATCTTTAGAGAGAGGGGTTTTGAAATGACAACAGTTTTTAATTGAGCACGGACCACCACGGCCAATCGCCGAGAGCGACAATTCGGCGGGCGAACGCCCAAACACCGCCACGTGCCCAGCGCGCTCCAGTGGAGATATCGCTGACAGTGTGCCCGATGGTCAGATAACGTGCAGGGGCCTGACAGCGCCTTCCTGGCCTCCAATCTGGGCCGCCCCGCCCCGCCCCGCCACACAATGAGCGCCGTCTGCAGCATTCGAGTATCGAGTCGGAGGGAAGGGGGCACGCGTCGCGTACACCGCAACTCTATATTTGGAGCGGCGGGGTGCTTCGCTGCTTGCTGCTTCGTGTATCATCGAGGTCTAATAGCTTCTGCGCCGCGGTGCCGAGGTGCCGAGGTGAAGGCACAGGGAGGGCTCCGCTGTCCGCCCGGCAGCCCGACAACGCCACTGCACGCAGTGGGCCAGAAGACCGGTGGAGGCGGTCAAAATCCCGGACGCGTTTAGAGCTCCAGTCGCTAAATGGAACTCGAACCGAACGTGTGACCCCACCAATGGGTAGCTCTCCGAACGAGGAATCCATCGGTGGGGTCACACGTTCGGTTCGAGTCCTGTTTAGCGATTCTGGAGCTCAAAACGCGTCTAGAATTTAGGCCGCCTCCACCGGTCTTCTGGCCCACTGCGCACCAGCGGCGAGCCTGCGGAGCCTTGCGCCGTGAGCAGCGAGACAGACACCATGGGGACACGGCTGGTAGCCACAATGGGCCCCCCGAAGCGCCCCTTTCGCAATCACAATTATGAGAAGCAAACATGAGAACGAAATGACGAGAGGGGAGGGACGTGGGGACGTGGGCGATGAAGGCAAACAAAACAGCGCCGCCGACAGTGGCGTGGCTCTGGGGCACTGCCTAGGCACTGCGGGGCGTGCCGCGGAGCGCTTCTGGAGGATGGACGCTCGGAGCGCGGCCCCACCGGCAGCCCGGCAGGCAGGACGCGGCGTGACGAACGCCTCGGAGCACGGACATGGCGGACATGGCCAGCCCCGGAGCCAGTCCGTCCGGGCACCCGCCACTCGAGCCGCGCTAGGCCGAGCTAGGGCTGCAGCAGGTGCGTGGAGTCCTCACTAAGGGGCTGCTAGGCAACACCAAAGCAGCGTGGCAGGCACGGCAGCACCCCGACGGCCGTCGTGTTAAAAATACGCCGACACGCGCCGCCATGCCGCCATGCGGCGTCATACGCTGTCAACGCGACACCACTTTCGTGTCGCCGTCTCTCTCGCTCCATCGGGACGTTCCGTGTGGGTGCGAGAGAGAAAGAGCGAGAAAGGCTGCAGCGCAGACGTCCGTTTGCGGCCATTTAGGGGATGGTTTACGCATTAGCGACGGGGGCATTCGGAGAAAATTAGTTAAACGTGGTAGGTAAACACTTTCCCTTCCAGAACCAAGAAAATCGGTAGTAAAACCATTTTAACGTCGCAGTGGACGTGAACGGTTCAAGGCAGGGGCCGGACCGTGAGTCACCAGGTGGCTGACTCAGGGTGGGTAAAGAGTACAGTGTGGGGCGCAACGATTGGGACGGTGCACGGTTTGCCGGTGTCTCATCGTCCAGCACTCTGGCAGGACTAAAATAAAAATAACGTTCGGGGCGGAAGCGACGAAGCGGGAGAAAATCCCTCCAGCCGACTTGCGAGCTGATCACTTGTCCAGGAGGTTCTCAAGAGGATCAAGCCCCCCCCCCCTCTTTCCCCACGGGCGCCTGGACCATGGCATGCACGTCGGCGGCGAGGGTCGTTAGAACATCCTGGAAAGTATTTGCGACTTCCGCTTGGATGGAGCGTGGCGCGGCGTGGCAGGGCGTCGAGGGCGTTGGGCCGTTGACACTGGGAATGCGGGGCGCAACGAAGCCAAGCTTGTCCTTCAACCGGACCCGCATTGGATTTGCCGTAGGACCGGCGGAGGCGGCCAAATCTCTAGACGCGTTTTGAGCTCCAGAGTCGCTCAAAGGGACTCGAATCGACCGTGTGACCCCACCAACAGATTCCTCGTTGGGAGAGCAAATCCATTGGTGGGACCACGTTCGGTTCGAGTCCCATTTAGCGACACTGGAGCTCAAAACGCGTCCGGGAGTTTCGCCGCCGGCGCTGGTCTTCTGGCAAATCCGTTGTGCGGAGAGGCCCAGGAACGGCGTGATTCGATGGCAGAGGCCACGCGGCCGAGAAGCCACAGACGAGCGGCCCCTTGCCCCTTGCCCGGCCCCCTCGGCTGGACATCGCCCATAAACAAACAGCTAATCACTTCCGATAGATAACCCCTGCGGCTCGCGGCACTCACAACGAGCTCTGGGGACGGGGCGAGTAGGCCGTGGGCCGTAGGCAGGCCGGGAGGGTCCTGGCGTCCTGGCGCGACCGAACCGCCGAGCAGGAGGATTCCCGGCCCAGCGGCCCAGCTTACTACAAGCACGATTGCCTCTGGAGTGCGCGGGGCAACAGCCCGGCGAGGTAGGCAGCCCGGCCACACGGGCGTCGCGGTGGTGCCTACGTCGCGGGCTGTCAGGCTGCTGCTTACCGCTGTGAGGTAACCCGCACCCGCGGCGTGGGCAGGGCACGCGCCAATCGAATCCCCGCCTCGCACACACGCGGCGCGCGGCGCGAAGACGAAGGCCTGGCGGGCTGGCGGCGCTGCCGGGGCACTGCTCCGCTGCTCCGCACTCCACACGCGTGCCGACGGCCGGCCTGACTGGCACACTGCTGCGCGCCGGGCCGCGCGCCCCGCGCCGACGCGACTTGGGCCCGGCACTACTCAAGCCTAACTGGGAGTAGGCGGGGTCCCGTGTGTGTGTGTGTGTGTGTGTGCGTGTGCCTCCGAGTCTCTGCGTGACGTCACACGCCCAGGCAAACACTCCGACACGCCGCGGACTTGGTCGGCGGACGGGTCCGCTTCCACAGGGGCGTCGTCGCGAGGGTCGCGGGGGTTGCCGGTCGCGGCGGCACATTTGCCCACTTCCCTGCCCGTTTCCGAACTTTGGTGGAGTGGCCGAGTCCGTCCCTCCGCCGCACTCGGCGCCACGCCGCCAGGACGGCCCGAACGCGCGCGTGCCTCGGCCTGCCTGTCGGAGATACTCCGCCAGGACATCCATTCCGTCGCGGCGATGCCCCGGCGATGCTCGGCGATGCCCCGCGCGAACGGGCTTGTGAAGAGCCAACGAGGCGTCGGGCTGGTCGGGCGGGGTGCTCCACTGTGCTCCGCGGCCCCGAGCGACTCACTCTGTCTCTCTCGCACCCCCACGGAGAGCCTCGTGAGTGCGACAGAGGCAGAGCGGCGAAACGGCCTCTCCTGAACCGCTCGGTGGCCCAGCGTCCGCCGCACGCGCGCCCGCCGCACTAATTTTAAACGCGCGAGAAGACAAGCTCAACGCGCACCCCGCGGTCCCGCGGTCCCGCCGTCGGAAGCGTGCCGTCCTCGTCACTCTTGCCGGCGCGGCAAGGGGGAGGGAGACACACACACACACACACACACACACACACACTCACACAAAGCGCGAAAGGAAGAAGACGGAACCTGTCGCGCACCCACATTTTCCCAGAGTCGTTTCCGTCGCTGTCTCTCTCGCACCTGCACGGGACGCCCCATGAGAGCGAGAGAGACGTAGCGACGACCGGGCGACGGGGCGAGGGCATGCAGAGAGGAGCAGTGGGCGACACCGCCACCTTTCCGCAGTTTTCTCGCTCTCCACCGCAATCTGTGCGGCGCTCCTGAACAGCCTCCACTCCCTGGCGCCGCTAGTCGGCCAGACTCGGACGAGACCCGCGCGCCACGTGCGCCACGTGCACTGCAGTGCACTGCCCGGCAGCGCCAGGGGAAATCGCGCAAAGCACGCCGAAGTCCCTCGCTCTTCGTTACCGTCGTCATCCTCCTGGTCGTCCTCCGGGGCCTCCGGGTGCTCGCCGCCGCCGTCGGCGTCCTCCGGCCAAGCCGGCCAGCCGCCCCAGGCGTCCTCGTCCAGGGCCGCGTACCTGCCACTGCCGCCACACGCGGCCGCCGCGTCCGCGACGTCGACCTCTGGGCGTCGCGGCGACACCCAGTAGGTGCGTCCGGGCGCCATGCGGCCTTCGGCGTGCAGCCTTCAGGGGGTCATGGCGCGGGCCTGCCGCCCTGGGGCTTGGGTCGTCCCGCGCGCACTGCGCGGACTGCGCGGCCCGTCGGCGCAATGCCTCCAGCCAGCAGGGCCAGCAGGGGCAGGTGGGGCAGGTGGGGCAGGTCGCGGATGGATGGGCCGGTCGCGGCGTCGCGGCGCTTGGCGCTGCACTGCCAGGCCGGCCGAGGAAACGCCGTAATTCGGCAGATTCGGGGAAAGCGCGGCGCAGCGGCGCAGTTAGCCGGGAAGTGGCGGGCCACTGGCGGCCGACCGCCGACCGGCCGGGCGAGAGGGAAGGCTTCGAGAGAGTACGAAAAAGCGAAAAACGAGAGCCGCGGCGAAAGGAGCGGAAGGGCAGCCTTCGAGAACGGCGAGGCCGCGAGGGCCGCGAGGCGGCTGGCTGCTTGGGCCCCGAAACGGCGAGCCGGACTGCCCGACGCTGCCCTGCCAACGCCTCGATGCCTCGATTCGACACTCCACGAGGATTGGCCGAACCACCTCGCCACGCCTCGCCACGCCACGCCTCGCCCCCGCACCGGCTAGGCGCTAAACGCGACGCTTTCAATGCCATGGCCAGGGGGGGGGGGGGGATGGAGTTCGCATGACTTCACGGCGCGAAAAGCAAAGTCAAACCACGACATAAGAAGAGTGCAGAGGCAGGGAAATCGTGCTGCCTTCTAAAACGCAATGTCAGTTCATGGCATGCAGTTTGTCACTACGAGTAGTTGTGCAGTTCATGAAGCCTTCCTTTACTCAAAATGAAAGGCCATCAAAGGGTTCTCTCAGAGAGAACAGGCGGAGGTTGCCAGAGAGAAGTTTTACAAAGCGACAACATCTTAAAGAGTCAAACTTTTATCCAACACACAAGTTCCATAACAATATGAAGTCAAAAAATTGAAGGAATGACATCTCAAGACCAAATGAAAACATGACCTTGCCATTTAATTGAAAGGATAATTATTATAAAACCAGGAACCTAATATGAATCAATCTCGGTTCCGCAATATGGTTCTTATTCATTAATTAAAATTGAATATATCCAACTGGTGATAGTAATGAATTACTGAAAACATCAATGATAGCAGAGATCAAAGAGAAATAGAAAGAAGCATGTTTACACATAAGAAGACGTATCAAAGTGTTTTCATCCCCAAATAAACATTCCCAAATAGTAAACACAGTTCTGCTAGAATCTGACAGCTCTTGCTAAAATCATAACCTCTAAACAGTTGACATCTCTGACAATATGCTGCATGTAGCAACTTGGCACAGCCCTGAAAAACGATTTGTGGGACGACAGAGCTTAAAGCGTCATGAGAAATCACGTCGAAACGTGGCAAATCAACTTTTTTCATTCAATTTGGCCATATTTTCAAGTGGATAAAGAGGCAATAAGTGGAATCTCAGAGAGGCAGACTATCGTCCTGTGGGACTCACCTGGTACTTGTCGGTCATGTTTGGGCGTTCCAGACATTTCGGGGAGCGCTCGGACTCCGCGATGTTACACAACATACCCGGGCATACCCATTCGTCAACATAAAAGACGAAATACCCGTAAATCGTCAACCATTTTTCCACTCCACCTATTTTGCATTTTTGCACAATCGGAGCCTTGCAGAAGTTTGTTTGCCTTGAAAAGATCCTGACGCTTCTACCAACATTGACGGTTCGGCAGGAAATTATCGAAAACCGTATGGAAGCTTTGTTTGTGCCAAAGCGAGGGTAGTTATAATTTTCAATATAATTTTACTAATGTGGTAGTTTTTCTTTAGCTTCTCTTTTCTCTCCTCTTACGATTTGATTTCGTTTGGTTGGCGTCACTCCTCGTTATTCACACGGACAAAGTGCAAATAGTCCTTCCCCGGCTCTCTCTCTTCCCCCCGCCCCCGCCGCACCCTCGACGAGCCCCAAACTGCCGATTCGTTGTGTCAGTTCTTCATTGATAGTGACGCTAATTCAAGAAGTTGCCGTGGAAGCTAATTGATTTGTGTTGAGGTAGAGTACTTAGTGTTACTCTGCCTTTGCCTTGGAAGCTGAGCCAAACAGCACGTAACGTAGTCTCTATTTCCGAGATTTTTATTGGGTGATGATACAGCGTCAGGTTATGGCTACCCCAATGATTTTGATCTCGTCGAAACTGACGAGACCTATTAATGTCTTTAAGCGATTCTCTGCGAAGCGTGGTTTAGCCTGTCTGTGTAAGAACTTGGAGGGGCGTTCGCGTTATCGCGCCTCCAGCTTTGTGAGTCGGCAAAGAATGGACGTGTCCGTAGTACCCATTCAATCTGGCTCGGGGGAATACTCCCACTCCCCCAATCCAAGCGCCAGGCAAGTCACTAGAAGCATAGATTGTGACTAGGATTGTTCTGCGTTCCACAAACTCTATTGTCATGCTGTCCAACTTAATGCACTGATCCATGTTTTGGCTATTGGCAGTCAACCTTGTTTTGTCTATTCAGTTTGTTGCCTTTGACTGATTTTTTCAACGACTCTCTCATGTTAGAGGGTGGTTTGATCCATTCAGATTTGAGCCAGATTCAGTAATGAATTCACACAAATTTTCAAACTCATTGGCTTGGATTACAGTTGAAGCTGGTTCTCATGCATGAAAGCTTACCATTCATTTTTGTTCTTTTGATTATAGATACCTTCATTCATCTTCTAACATGGCCAGTCCAGATCTGTCCCTGTTTACGTATCCCAATGAGACACCATTTGTGGAGTTGGACTGCCTCGCAGCCTTTAATGCTCTCACTGACAAGGAAAAGCTGTATGCTCATTATTTGAGCCAAGCCTCATGGTATGGAGGACTTATTGTATATGTACAAGTAAGTTACAAACTAAAATATTCATTTTTAAGTATATTATCCCTAACTCAAAAAGTTTTAATTTGTACATGATTTTTATCTTGTTTTTAGACATCACCTGAAGCTCCCTTAATCTTTTCCCTCATCCATAAATTGGTGACTGCTGAAAGTGTTGAGGACCTCAAGAAAACAGCTATTGAAAGCGGTAAAGCCACTGAAGATGATGTCAAAGTATGTCTTTAGAATAATCATTCATTACTTTATATCCTAAATCTTGTTTGTTTGTAATGAGATTTCTTACTTTCCTGCAGGCCCTTCTTGTGTACATATCTGGTATACTTGCAAACAGTGGAAACTACAAGGGTTTTGGTGACAGCAAAATTGTTCCAAACCTTCCTAAAGAACGTTTGGAAAATATTATTCTCACAAGTGCTGCTCACAAAGCAGACCCTAAAGCAATTGAAACACTGTGGAATGCATGTGCTGATAAAATTTATTCATTGGAACATTCACATCAACATCTTGGGTTTGGTGACAAGGGCACTACTACCTATTTCACACCTAACTGTACTTTAAAAGATTCAGAACTTGTAGGAAACTTTATGAAAAAGTATAACTTGGAAGGTTACAACAATAGATTGTTCAAGTATGAAGATGACGGCAAAACAACTTATGAGGTGCAATATCTTGGTTTTTGGATCTGCAAGTTATATTAGTGTTTGCAGTTAAAAATTGAATACTCTAAAAATTGTTTTTTCTCAGGTTCGAATGGCATCTGTTTTGAATCAGCAGGATGATGAACCTTTCCTTATGAAGGACACCATCTATGAAGGCTGCACTTTCCGGGTTACTCGTGGTGATTACTCAGGTCTGCTGGAACTTGTTTGCCAAAATTTGGAGAAAGCCAAGGTGAGTTATTTTGTTCATAATGATACCACCACTTTATGCGCTCTGTCTTTCATTCAAACACATTTTGGATCTTAGGAATATGCCTCAAATGATTTGGAGTCAAACATGCTGGAACAGTATATCAAGAGTTTTCGCACTGGGTCTTTGGATGCTCATAAGAGTGGGTCAACCTACTGGATCAAAAATAAGGGCCCGGTTGTTGAGACGTAAGTTGCCTTGGTCTTTTTTTTTCTATGAAGTGCTTTTTAACTTGTCATGCTAATTAATTCTATTTTTCTTTCAGTTACATTGGTTTTATTGAAACGTACAGAGACCCTGCGGGAATGCGAGGAGAGTTTGAGGGTTTTGTAGCAATGGTCAATAAAGAAATGTCAGCCAAATTTGGAACCCTTGTTGCACATGCGGAGTCATTACTGAAAGAGCTGCCATGGCCTTCAACCTTTGAGAAAGACCAATTTCTTAAACCGGACTACACATCTCTTGATGTTTTGACATTTTCAGGATCTGGAATTCCTGCAGGGATCAACATCCCCAATTGTAAGTTTTGTTTCTAAATTACAATCTAGAGTTAATGTTCTGAAGATAATCCTAGATGAAGGCTGTCTGTTGTTTTCCCATTTTTCTTTTCCTTACTTTTTAAAGAAGAAAGTCATCTAGTTGGCTTGGAGTGTACCTGAAATTTCATTCTTCCCAATGCTTTTGTTTTTCAGATGATGAAATCCGTCAGTCAGAGGGATTTAAAAATGTGTCCTTGGGCAATGTTATTCCCACAAGCTTCAAGGGTTTCAGACATCAATTCCTCTCTGAAGCAGATGTGGCTATGATGGATAAATTTGCAGTGACAGCATTTGAGGTTGGTCTACATCACACACATGCAGTCATACTTTCATAAACTGTATTTTGGTTGGTATAAGAGAGTCCTACCTCATTGTTGTGAATCTCTTATACTTCCAGGTTAATGTTGGACTCCATGAATTACTCGGACATGGCAGTGGAAAACTGTTTAGGAAAGAAGGCGATCAATATAATTTTGATGTGGAGACTGTGATTAATCCATTAACAAACAGCAAGGCAAGTTAAAATTTCCTTTTACAGTATATTGAAACAAAACAAATAAAAAAATAAGATGAATGAAAAGCCGTTGATCTCAGGTTTCATTAACCTTTATTTTTTATACAATAATAAGTATTTTCTTTGGTTCTTGGGCAGGTTACATCATGGTATGAAGCTGGTGATACGTATGATTCAAAATTCACATCACTGGGCTCAGCATATGAAGAATGCCGTGCAGAGTGTGTTGGCTTGTACCTGTCACTTAATCAAGATGTTTTGAAGTAAGAGAATTTTTATGTAGTTGGCAGATTTTTCTTTAATTTCGTTTTTTAAAAATCATAATTTTTTTTCGTGTGTGTGTTTTAGAATCTTTGGAACTGAGGGTGTAGAAGCAGAAAATGTGATGTACACCACCTGGCTCAACATGCTCTGGGCCGGGTCAGCTAAAGCTTTGGAAATGTATTCTCCAGCATCAAAGAAGTGGCTTCAGGTTTGTATAAATTTTTAGTTATCTGTACTGAGTTGTTTTACCTGTTGTACTAGTTGTTTTACCATGAATTTTTTTTTTTTTCAGTCCCACTCCCAGGCAAGATATGTCATCTTGCAGGTTTGTTTAGAGGCGGGTGAAGATTTTGTCAAGGTTACTGAAACTGAACCTGGCAAAAATTTGCTGCTATCTGTGGATAGGTCCAAAATAAAGACTGTGGGCAAGAAAGCCATTGGTGACTTCCTTGTTAAATTGCAGGTAATGTTTAATTTTCTTGAAGCCCTTAAATATTTTGAATGTAACACATCTACATAGCCCCTAACTGTCAGTTGTAATCTTTATTTATAGGTCTACAAGTCAACTGGTGACGTAAAGAGTGCCCAGGAAATGTTCAACAAGTATTCAGAAGTCTCTGATGACGGTGCTTATCCCTGGGCGAGGTGGCGTTCCATCATCCTTGCCCACAAGCAGCCTCGTCAAATCATGGTGCAACATAACACCAAAGTGAATGGTAATTGAAAACATCGTCTTGATGTGTCCTAGAATGATTATTTTAGTTTCTAACATCTGTAATTTAATGTGTCACTCAGGAAACACTGTTGAAATCTCCAAGTACCCTGCCACAGCTGAGGGCTTTGTGCAGTCATGGTCTGAACGCTTCTCCTCCTCAAAGGTAGAGAGTTTGCTGGAGTCCCTTTGGCAAAAGGATGCCAAATACTTCTATGCTGAGCCGCCTGCTAAGCTTTCTGCTGCCTGCTAATGTACTGCCAACAATGTATATTTTTTCATAATTACCTATTATCAGTGATTTAAAGACAACTTTTGATTTTGAATTTTTATTTTTACATGATTTAAATTAGTTACCCATCTGTACCTATTTGTACCTATCATTGGAGGGAAAATAAATTCTACATAGAAGTAACAAAATTTTGAATTTCTTTTCCAACTATCCTAACATTGTCAAAATGAGGTCAACAGTCCAAATGAACATAGAACATGAAGGGTCATGACCTGCGTGACTTCCGGGCGCCCTTTACGACCGCACCGCACCGCACCGCGCCGTCCCAGTCGCCGCTGTCACCGACTGTCTCCGCCCCGATGGATGGCTTGTTCGCGAAGTGCCGGTGATCGATCCACCGCCGTATGGAATGGAATGGAGAACCGGCCGTGCCCAGACCGGCACTGGGGACCGGGGGGACGGGGACGGGGACTCCGCCACCAAGGCGGATCGGCAAACATTTAGCGGCCCTGGGCCTGGGCCTCGCTGCGCCTGGCTCCCCGCTTCGTCTCTGTCGCACCCGTGCGGCGTGCGGCGTGCCGTGTGGGCGCGAGAGGGACAGCGACACGCTCCGAGCTCTTGGAGCTCTTGGAGCTCTTGGAGCCTGCCGGCGAGCGGGGCGCAGGCGGGTGCGCGGGTGCGCGTCGCACCAGCCCAGCGATTCAGAGCGGCGGTTTGTCGCTGCCTCCCTCGCACCCTTACGGCGAGCCCCATGAGCGCGACGGAGACAAGCCGACGAAACTTGGGCGGCACGCGGCCCGCTCGGGCCCACTAGGGACGCAAAGTCCGCGATGGCGGCGAGATAATGCCGGCTGCTATGGGCAGTGTGCTGGTTCGGCTCTGCTTTGCTCCGCTTTGCCTTGTCGGCGCGGTCGGTCGGGACTCGCAGACACGCAGGCCGTCCTCGCGCACCCCGGCGCACCCCGTGCCTGCCTCACTGCGTCCGCGGCACTCCATCTCTCTCGCACCCCTGGGCAAGGCCAGGCGACGCCAGGCAACGCCCCTGGAGAGCGAGGCAGACAGAGCGTGTCTGTTGCCGTGCCGTCCCCGCGGCGCAACTTGGTCGTTACAGTGCTGTATCGCGATGCGCGCTCCACACCGTCATCGCCGTTTTTGCTAGGGTGCGCTGGCGGGCCCTGCCCAGGAAGTTCGGCCTGTTCCGGACCAATGCATTTTTGTTTTTGCGGACCGGAAATAGAGCGATCGGAAATGTGCGCCACCTCTGGGCGAGGGGGGGGGGGACACGGTGCGCACACTCTGCGGGTAAATGGTGCTTGCCGCCGCACGCATCGCGTCACACGGCCACACACGCGGGCTGCGAGCCTCGCAGTGTGGCGGCACAGTGGGTCGGAGGACCGGTGGAGGCAGCTGAAATTCTGGACGCGTTTTGAGCTCCAGAGCGCTCCAGAGTAGGTAAACAGGATCCGATCCGAACTTCCCCAGCAATGATTTGCTCTCGGAACGAGGAATCCATTGGTGGGGTCACACGCTCGGTTCGAGTACTGCTTAGCGGCTTTGGAGCGCGTCTAGAATTTTGGCCGCCTCCGGTCTTCTGGCCCACTGTGGGTCGTGGCCCACGCACCGCACGCCACAGTGCTGCCACCTCCCTTCTTGAGCCTCGCCGCCGCCGTCCCTTCCGCTGCACTGTAGAACGATCCGCAGTGGCGTGGGCTTGTGGCGTACGAGCTAATGGATGGGGCCCGGGTTCAATACCGCCCGGCGGAGAGCGCCTTTCGCTTTCCACCCGAAAGGCGCTCTGTGGCCTGATGCAAGGTAGTCCGAGTCCTGCTCCCACTTCACCAAATGAGGAGTGCATAGGTCACTTTCTTACAGCGCAGCGGAAAGAGGGAAGTTGATCGTGGTATTCCATTCGAGCCCCTTTTCTTGCAGCCAGTCACTAAGCCACACATGGCGCTCCCTCTGGCACTGGCCCTGGCTCTGGCTCGACGGGCTGGCACCCGATGTGGCACAGGGCTACTCCGGGCTACTCGGAGGGCCGCCGTGCAGACGCCATTGTTGGCTGACGGAGGGAGAGAGAGAGAGAGAGAGAGAGAAAGAGAAATATGAGGGATTTGAAAGGCTTGACGTGCTGACAGTCTCGCCGCGCGCACTGTAGCCTGTAGCCCCTCGCTGTGGCCCCTCGCCCGCCTGCCAAACCGGAGGCAGAAATGATATTTCCCCCAACTGACTGTGTTTTCAGAGCGGGACCAGTGTGGGTGTGTGGGTTGCAGAGTCAGCGGCGGAATCGGTCCTCTCTCTCTTGGGTTCCACGCACGACGCCGTGGTGCACCGGGTACTCCATACTTTGCCCTAAAGGCCGCCTCGGCCTTGGAGAAGCACGCAGCGCCGCGCAGCTCGCCGTGTCCGTGATTGCCGACCCGATCCATGCCGCCTCCATGCTGCCTCGCCGCGCCGGGACGTCATGTTGTCAAAATTGTGTGTCCATGTGTGAGTGAGTGCGCGTGTGTGCGCCCCAGGCCCAGCCCAGGCCCAGGCAGGCCGCCCGCAGGGGATGGCGTCCGTTCTTTTCCCCCCTTTAACCCCCCGAGCCGGAGCTGGTGGCGTCTTGAATCTGATAGCCTTTGAGGGTCGGATCAGAGAGACTGCTTGCATGAATACGGAGTGTGTTTCTGCTACCGGGCCAGCGCCGCGGCGACCTTTGATAGGTAAAGGAAAGAGGGAGGCTCCCCCCTCCCCCTCCCCCTCCCCCTCCCCGCACCGGTTGACCTGCCCGGAGCAGCAAGCGGCCCGGCCCGCCCAGCCTAGCCCAGCCCGCCGCGGCCAGATTCGCTCCTGCTTCAGGTGCGCAGACCCCGATTCGAATCCAGATTCGAATCCAGATTCGCATCCAGATTCGCATCCAGATCCGCACCCAGATTCCCATCCAGATTCAAATCTCGATTCGCGCGCCAGGCCGTCAGGTATTCGGGTGTCGGGGCCGTTGTGCGTCGGGGCGCGCGCTCTGCCTCTCTCGCACCCGTGAGCACGACGCCCCATCAGTGCGAGAGCGACAGAGCGACGAAGGCACGTTTCGGAATGGGAACGCCCGGGGCGGGGCGGGGCGGGGCGGGGCGGGGCGGGGCGGGGAGGTGCTGGCTCGAGGTGTGGACAGCCCCAAACAAAGTTTGCACTTACTTCTTGGCGGCGCTCGGGCCTCGGCCTCGCGTCCTCCTCCTCTTACTGCTTCCCCGAGCCTCCCAGCCTCCCAGCCTCCCCTCCCTCCTTGTCTCTCAAACCGCCCGGCCCGGCCCGGCCCGGCCTAGCGCTCCCTCGCTGCCGTCAGAAAGACTGTAATACAATTTCCTGCGACCATTTTTATCAGAGAGCAGCGCGCCGCGCCGCGCCGCCAAGCCTTGCCTAGTGTGTGAGCAGTGGCGCCGGCATGGCCGGGACGAGCGCGCGTCGGGACGTCGCTGGGCCGGGGGTGGGGGTGCTGGGGGTGAACCCCACTATTTCATCAAAACACTGTCATGTTCGCTTTCGCGCGGCGCGCCGCCGTCGCTCGCCTCCACCACTCGAAGCCGGCATGGAGCGATGTGACTTTGAACGAGAATGGGGGGGGGGGGGAATGATGTGATTAGCATCAAAGCCGCGGGGGGATAGACCGGGGATCGTGCTACTAGCCGCGCAGCTAGAGGCTAAGGGGCTAGAGGAGCTAGGCCCGGCCATGGCCCCGCTGGGCACTTCCAGGAACGCCTGCCACCTCTCTCCCTCTCCTCTCTCTCTCTCTCTCTCTCTCTCTCTCTCTCTCTCTCTCTCTCTCTCTCCACAGATTTGGGCGCCGCGATTACTCTCCCGAAGTATCCACCCGCGTCGGCGCGCGTCGCACATTTCACTTTTTATCGTCCGCGGTAGGTTATGAAATTAATTCAGGAGTCTTGCGGCATTACGCGGCCTCTCTTAGAGGGAAAGAGAGCGAGAGAGAGAGAGAGAGAGAGAGAGAGAGAGAGAGAGAGAGAGAGAGAGAGAGAGAGAGAGAGAGAGAGAGAGAGAGAGAGGGCGAGGGGAGGGGAGGGGGCAACGTGACGGCTTGGACCGGCGTGTGCCAGCGGTGTACGCGTCTGCACACGCAGAGGACCGCCTTCGGCCACGCACAGTGGATTTGCCAGAAGACCGGTGCAGGCGGCCAAGACTTCCAACGCGTTTTGAGCTCCAGAGTCACTGAGTGGGTCTCGCACCCGCACCGAGAATGTGACCCTACCAATGTATTGCTCCCCGAACGAGGAATCTATTGATTCCAGGCCGGTCGGCGCGTTGGGCGCCTTGGACATCCCGGCGACAGCCTCTCTGCGGAAGCACTATGTGCGCGTCGGCCCGAGTGCCCGCCCCACCGCCTGCCGCCTGCCGCCTGCCGTCCGTCTTGTTCGAGAGTATCGAATGCCGTGTGCGAAGGGCTAAAGGCTGAAGGCTGCTGAAGGCTGCAGCGCGTGGCGGCGACACATGCCGGCGCTCCGAGGCGCGCTGCTCGCATAGGAATCCGATTGAGGGAAGAAGTCGGCAATAAAAGGGCTGCCAAAGGGTGCCGGGCCGCGCCGGGCTGGGCTGGCTGCACTTGGCGTGCCCCCTCCCCCTCCCCTCCAAGCAATCCGCACTTCCCCTATCAGTTTCTCGCGGGGCTGGCCGAGGCGGGCCGAGGCGTTTAAACAAGAAAAGGCCATTTTCCAGCGGAACGCGCCCGCCACTGTAAGGGCTTGCCCCGCCTTGGCTTGCCGGCGAGCTTTCGGCGCCACCGACAAAGTTGTGGCTTTCGGTAGACGAGGTTACGTTGGTGGCGAGCCGCGCGCGAACCTACAGTCCGAGTTGCTGAGCCACTCGGCAAAAACCCGTGGCGGTTCCAGCGACGGGCTGCTCCCGAAATGGCGAGCTACATGCCACATCGTTCCATTGTGAGTAGGCCAGAGAACCGGTGGAGGCGGCCAACTACCAAAGGGGTATAACTCCATGCTACGAGAGACGGCCTCCTAATCGTGACGTCAGCGGCCCCAAGGCAGTGGTATCAACGTAGAGAACAGAAATTGCGGTAAAAGCGGTCTACCCGGGTGGGTGTCGAACCCG